TATGTGTCTAATGTATTGATTACTTTATAATTGAGTATTATATAAAAGTTCTACAATCACTTTATATATTTGTAGAATTATTGCAAACCTGCAATAATAGTGATCTCGTTTTTCCTGTTTCATAAAATAGTTAAGAGATTTATTAAGAATCGAGTCATAAAACCTTAACTTACGATAAGAAATAATTTAACTGTAAATATATTTGATATATTCACTGACAATAAATATCACTCAAGGAATTGTTACATTATATACTGTACTTAATAAGCATAACTTATTTACAACAAATACAATATAACTATTACTATTGGTAATAGTTTTATGATATATGAATTGCAATTATTTTTATTGTAAATAAATAAATAAATTTCACACAAACTAAAAACAATTCACTTGTTATAACTATAAAAACTTAATCGCTTTAACAAAATTTAATTAAACGACTAATACTTATAAAATATTTATATTATAACTTATTACAAGATACTGAAAGAAAAATGTATTTAGCATTTTGTCGATAACACAGTTTTTCAAAGATGCAAACTTTGAGCACTCATTCAGTTGTTAACACATTTGGCAAATGATTAATAAATTCGGAGTATATTTAATCATATAATTTGTTGATAATTCAATTGATTAAACATTATTTGTCTCAATTTCTTTATCACTTTGTCGAGTCATTTCTGAGTCGTTTGTGGCCACAGATGTGATGGTGTCCTCGTAGTGCAGATCAGAATCCGATGCATTGATTATAATGGACGGCGTTGTCGTACTCTGTGGTACCAAAATACCCTGGTTCATTTGCTCGATTGCTATTCGCAACTATTGATTGTTATCAACAAATTGATTGTCAATTTTATAATAAATTAGTTAACTTATGGATAATTCATACATCTTTAAGGGCCACAACTCCGACTAATCGTCCGATTGATGTGACGTAAGCGTGATTTAGGCCTAACATCGAGAATATTGAGTAGACTTTAAGTAAAGTTGTTTTCTCAACCAATTGAAAGGGCGCCGGATCTATACGACACGTTGAGAAGTCCACAATTGAGTTGAGCTGATCCTCTTCCCAGGCCGCCTGTTCCTCCTGAGACATGTCTATCACATAAGTAAAGTTGTTTTCTCAACCAATTGAAAGGGCGCCGGATCTATACGACACGTTGAGAAGTCCACAATTGAGTTGAGCTGATCCTCTTCCCAGGCCGCCTGTTCCTCCTGAGACATGTCTATCACCCTTTCCTTCGGCTTTAGTTAATAGTTATATTAATCAGTAATTGTTTATATCAATGCTTTAATCACTCACTAATTGGACCCTTCGGTGTAATGGATGGCCGGAAACCATAATCTCAGACTTTTCAGACTTTCCGTTCTGCGAGAATTTGTTAAACATTTCATTTTCATAACGTTTTCAAATTTAATCAAACTTTTGATGACAAACCTTATCGGGATTCGCGTCCTGAAGCTTAAGACTTTTGAAGAATATATTTTCAAACGCATGCCTCAGACGAGAATCTATGGTTAGTTTAACATGAATTGAAATCAAATAACATTATTTAATCTAAAATGTGAAATGAGTGCAAACCTTGTGCTGTGAGAGTGACGGTCGCGTGTGGAGAATATGTGAACGAAACGGTATGTTTTAATATTGATTTCACGGGTCCTTTATTAGGTGATAATCGATTAGATGGCGGCTGAGAACTGATGCCATCAAACGATTGTTGGGAAACAGGTGTCACTTCAAACCGAGACATTC